GGGGGGGGAAAAACCCGCCTTTTTTTTTTTTCCCCCCGGTTAGGGGTTTTTTTCCCCTTTTCCCCCCTTAAAAGGGGGGAAGCCCTTTGGGGGGGAAAATATAGGGTTTTTTTCCCCCCCCCCCCCCCCCCCCCCGGGGTGTTGCACGTAAAAGCGCAGGACGCGTGGTCAATGGTTGAACCAGCTGCATTAAGGCATGCAAAATATGAGTACGCCCCTCCCCCCCGTGGTGATGTGAGAGCCTGGTCCGGTGAAAACCCGGCGTACTCCGTCCCGGCTTTGTAAGGATGCGAGGTCAATGGTCCGATGACTTTGGCATGCACGACTACTGTATGAGCACACACACACACACACACACACACACAGCGGTCTTGCGCGTGAAAATGCACACGCAGAACATGGGCGACTTCCTCGAGAGCGGCCTCCTGGAGCCGGCGGCGGCGCCGCTGGTGAGGCGGGAGGTGCAGAGCCTGTGCCTCGAGCTGCGCCCGGAGGCGATCTCGCTGACGGACGCGTGGCAGTTCACGGACAAGTACCTCTCCTCCGCTCTCGGCAGAAGCGACGGGTACGTGTGGGCGTTGTGTGTTGTGTGTTTATAAGCATCGACCGCGATACATAGCCGGCTGAACAATGAAAATACGTTAATCTCAGTGAACTTGAAAAGAGGACATGCTTCTAGAGGCCATGGTAATGGTCTGTACGAGAGCTTGATTTTTTGTTTATCTCTGACCAATGAAAAGACGTCAGTCTCAGTACGCCTGAAAGTAGAAAATGCTTCTATAAAGGCCGTGATCGATCATGATCTGCATGTGTGATTTCTTTCTGTTTTTTTCTCTCTTCTCGAAGTGTTCGGGCCCTTTGGGGGAAAGGTTCTTCTTTGTTGCTCTTTTGTTCCCACCTGATCTGTTTTCGCGCCCCCTCCCACCTCTCATGCTTCCTGTTTTCGTCCTGCTCCACCAGCCGGACAGGAGGTTGGTGTTGTTGTCGTGCTTTCCGCTGATGTTGTCGTCGGTAGTGATGGCGTGTCTTTGTTGCCGCTGGCAACGAGATACTATATATAATAGGGTACATGGACAACTTAAAGGTTTTGCTTCCGAAAAACTCGACGCTATTGAAGCTGTCGCAGTGTTTCTCTGCTTCTTAGGAATGTGGCAACGACGTCAAAAATAAATTGTCACGCAAGCACCTCACATCTTCCCCCCCTTCCCTTCCCCCGCGCGATATGGTACCCGCTACTTGTACTCACCCCCCCCCCCCGGAGAGCAGGCGCGTGTACCCGGCTCTCATGGAGGCGGCCATGGCGGAGCCTCTCAACGCCACCGACGTTGCCCCGTCCATCACGAGCATCCGGGAGCTTATCGGCGTCCGGCCTAACCCTCGCCTATAGAGCGCCCCGATTGCAAGTAGAGCGTGTTTTGCGTTTCGCGAAGCAAGTCTCCCTGTAGGGCGCCTCGACTGCAAGTAGAGCATGTATCGCCTGTAGAGTGCCTCGACAGCATGTAGACTGTGTTATGCGTTTCGCGAAGCGTGCAGGGCGCCTCGACTGCAAGTAGAGCGTGTTTTGCGTTTCCCGAAGCAAGTCTCGCCTGTAGGGCGCCCTCGACCTCAAGTAGAGTGTGTTTTGCGTTTCGAGAAGCATGTGCGACGTGTCTTACGGGTCGGCCGCGCCTGACGTTTCTTGTTGGTGTTGGATAGAACCAAAATGGGCCTGTGTTTCGTCTCTCTTTTCAAGACGAAATTCCGCTGTTGCGCCCTTCCTTCCGCTATTATCCTGTTCTCGTATCTGCTTGATTTTACCCCTGCAGGCCCGAGTCATGCACGCAGCCTTTGTGCCACTTCTTTGTGCGGTTCGCTTTGTCTTGTCCTTGACGCCCTGCGCAAGGGGGTGTAGATTAGGCAAACCGGTGGAGTGGAGAGAGGGTGCTTAATCACAGTGGAGGGTTTGGGCCCTGCTCCCTTTTGTTTGGTCTTCCTCTTCTGCTCTGGGAACTGGGTGTTTGCTTCCTGGGATATAGTATGCCGGGTATCACAACCAATCAATCCGGTGTCCCCGCACGGACTATTACCGTAAACTACACAAGATAACACACCCACATAAGAAACCACACCCCCCACAGAATACGACACCCCGGTGGTAATTTTCGGCATTTCTGACAAACCATCGATTTATCACCCGGGCTACATAAGATAACACACCCCGTGGTTACGCCGCATACATTCACGGGGCCCCTCCTTCTATCACCGGGGTGATACATCATCTGCCCCGTGGGCATCGCACACTGCTGTCACACGGTAGTGGTTTGTGGTTCGACTTTTGGTGGTGGTTTCTTTGCGTAATTTTGTTTTGGTCGTACCCGATAGCAAGGTAGGTATGTATTTATGCAGCAGCCTACTTTTTTGTTATGGGGCAGGATGGCGCACTCTGTGGCCACCGCCTCGCATCATATCGGACAAGGTACCTTCGATTTAATTTTCATTTTTCATGCTCCATCAAGCCGTGATGGTTGCTGACGTTATTTTGTTTGAAACTTTCTTCGGTGTTGAGGGGGTTGAGTCATCACCGAGATCACGTGCTCCGGAGTTTCGTCACCTCCGTTGAGCCCCTTTGTTTTACCTCATCCCCGCAGAACCACACTTCAAGTGTGCGGCACCCCTTCAAGTGTGCGGCAGCAGCGGTTCGACTCTACAAGCAGTGTTATCACCCCCCCTTTTTATCACCCCCCCAAACACACACCCTGTGGGTGTTCGGAGTTGCTATCACACCCCCTTTTTATCACACCCCCTCATTTATCACCCCCTCAAACACACCTTGCTTGCGGGTGTTCAGACTGACTGGCTATCACACCCCCTCATTTATCACACCCCCAAACACACTCTGTGGGTGTTCGGACGTGCTATCACACCCCCTGGTTTATCACACCCCCTTAGGTGTCCCTGCGAGCTGCACTTATCACCCGGGCTACATAAGATACCACACCCCCCACAGGATACCACCCCCGGTGATAACATTTTTAAAGCCAAAAATGTATCACCGGGGGTGTGTTATCTTGTGTAGTTTACGGTAGTCGATAAGGTGCGGCAGGTTTTTGCATTTTGACGGCGTTACGAACACCAACCCGGTAAAGACACGCAAATAACGGGGAAGCTATAAATTTGTGGAATTGCCTGATATGCGTTACTTGTCTTTGACTTTCTGGGGGAAACTTCCTTGCAAGCGCTTATTGTTTTCTTGAGGACCTGATCTCCAAGTTGGGCCGTCTCTTAGGTTGACCTCGACTATCAATTCACACACAGCTGTAGTGCTGGCGATGACAGGGGCTTTGTCCCGTGGGTCATGCGGTTTGGGGGCGTATGGCAACGGCGGGTTGGATCAGAGGGAAAGTGGAGGCTGACGGTCGCATGGAAATATCGGGCCAGTGTGCATTAACAAATGTCTAGGCTAGGGTAACATGAAGCCTGGGTGTACCGGCGGCTGCTCTCGCTCCCTTCTAGCGTCTCAGTACCCCACGCGCGTTGATTACACGTGCGCTACCCGTGTCTGGCATCGAGCATAGCACGCACCCGGATCACAACCTCATCCCCAACCTCCGTTCCGGTCACCAGCTACATTCCGATCAACGATATCGCAAGGCGCACACAACCTGTAGCCCCACCTCGCACCGCACCCCTTCAGGCCGACGACGGAACCGGCTACGTCTGCATACCAGATCTTGAATTTCTCGTTCCCACAACCTACGGCGCTACTCGGTCGCGATGATGGGTGAATCCGCGTCTCTCCTAGTCTCCCGCTGATTTTTTTCGCCACTCCTTTTTGTTGCAACGAGGGGGGGGATAGCACGCCAGCAAGGTTCCGCAACATTGCTACCCACGCCCCCTTCCCCGACATCCATCCCTCTGAAGGTCGGGGGGGGTGGAGCGGCCTTTGTGCTGTTGCCGGCGATATCCCTACCCTCCAACAGAGAAGAATAAATTGCCAGGTGTGTGTGTGATACGCGATGCGGGCTACCCAAAAGCCCCAAGACGGTCGAGAGTGCATGGAAGCTGTCTTTCGTCTCTCTTGTTCACTCACCGGCTGTCGCGCAAAGGATTGGTATCATCATAGCGTTCGGAGATAACTACGGCCTCTCGTCTTGCTCGGATGTTTTATTGGTTGCGAATAATTTGATGCTTGGATTGGTTGTCGCTGTCACCTGCACACGTGACAATGAGACCAAACAATTTCGTGAAAAGTAAGCACAGCCTTAGACTAAGTGAGCAGTGTTTCGGGCGGGGAGGCACGTGTGGCCAGACCAACTCCGAGACAAGGTCCCTCTCCGATGAACCTTGATCGATCTGCCGCGTTGCTCCGAATGACAATCCGAGTTGGCCCCCAAGGACCAGGCGCAGGCGGCGCGTGCGGGGAGGTTCCGGACGTCGACGGCAACGGCATGCCAGAGATCAAGAGGGAGAAGACGCACGCTGCCCCGAAGCCCCCCCGGGATGCACAAGCAGCGCGTCACGAGACACCGGCGGTGAGAACGGAAGGGCGAAAGCGCTATTTCAACAAGCAGGATACCTCGATGTCTCGCGGTCCAACTAAATGGTTTGATTGTTCTGGGAACGACGCCCCGCCCACCCTGCTGACAATTAATTTAGGGGATTTGATCGTTTTAGGAACGACGATCGTTTTAGGAACGACAACCCGGCCACCCTTCGCTGAAAATTGATTTGGAGGAGATATCAAGACTACGCACACGGCAGCAGCCTTAACAATGCCGCCCATGAGAGGTTCATCGCTACAACGTGAGACCGACCATGCGCAAGGCCGAGCGTAACGTACGGCCTTGCACCGATCTTCGGGGTGTGGTCTAAATCCTCTCCTCGGTCACAATGCACACGCGCACCCACCCCTCGTCGACGCCTGTCTTACATGTAGTAGACGCCAACAGAGGGGTTAATGGCTCTGAGAACAACCTACACTACAAAGCATGATTACGACCACACCATTCGATGCCGTCACAGCTAGGAGTTACGAAACAAAAAACAACAGCAGCAACAACAACAACACCATAACAACAACAGCAACTTGTTGGGTCAGTGGTGTCAGAGCATGCTTGCCGCCTCCGTCTTTGCGGGATCGAGAAGGGCAGGTAGATCCCGAACCGAACGAACCTCTTCCGACGCCGCCTGGGGAAATGCGAAAGGAAGCGTGGTGGTGGTTCGGAACGTGTGAGGTGGGTGTGAACAAAGACTGCTCCACCGTAATCGCGCGGTATGGAACGAGAGTCCTCGATGGGTAGTACCAGCACCGAACGTTCGGACAACACGGCTTGCCTACTCGGTCATTGCAGAACCTACTACACTGCAGTAGAGTATTCCTCTCGAATGGACGTTCCCGAGGCCGCGCAACGTCCGAGGTTGCTCACACGAGGCTCAACCGACTGCTATATTATATCCATTCCTGTTGTGGTTACGAGGTGCAGCCTGAATACTTTAGTCGCCTTCCGCACAAGGCCCCTTGGCTACAATCTTTCTTCGTTTTTCGGGATCTTTGTAGAGAGGTTGCCCCCACCTCTTCCGGCGACTCTCGTCGGAAAACCATGTGGGCGCTGTCCAGCATTTCCCTGAGGAGCTCCTGCGCACACAAGCAAGAGAGCGTGGCGGTGGTAAACACGGAAAATATCGACGGGCGGCAACGAGGAGAGCGTTTGTTTACTCTCGAGCCACATAAGCCTGACTTGACGGTACCCGGCATGTATTTGGGAAATACGCACGCACTCCTGCTTTCCTCCTGCACGGAGGCCTGCCTATGCTTTCTCGAGGAACCGAGACCGCGACGTCTTGGTGTTTTTCCTCTCATTACGACGTGCCCGCGCTACAGCCCACCATAGTAACCAACGGGCTTGCCCACCTGCTCCTTTCGCTCTTTGTCTCTGGTCTCGAGCCGCGTGGAGAGGTCCTCCACCTCGGTCTTCACCTCGTCCACCTTGCGGCGCACACAACGATACATTCACGACGTTTAAGACAATATAGGACTACAGTATGCCTAAAACCAAAGAAAGACTGCCCATTCGAGATATACCTAACCACAGTCGAAGGTGATGGGTTGGATTATTTACAGTGAAAGGTTTGCGATGTGTACAAAGCGTCGGGATAAACGCTTCGTTGCTTCAACTTACCTGAAGTCGACCGACCTTAAGTACAAGAGTAGATCGTATGCGTTTTGTCCGTTCGGGAGCGACAACATTCATTCCACGTTCGACACGTTTCAGCGTTTTACGTTTCACGTCCACATTCTCATACAAGCACCACCCAGATCGCGACGCAACTCAAGGCCTGACCTGCTCCTGCAGCTGGCGTTTTCGAGAGTCTGCTTCGTCAACGACAAGCTGGAGCCTGCGGCGTGAAGAGAACGCGAAGCGACGGACCCGCGGTACGAAAATAGATGAGTGGAACACAGCAAGAATTACACTTTCTGGAAAAATCGTCGATACACGTGTGGTTTCTTGCTTTATTCCTGGTGATTTGGTTCTCTTTCTTCTGTCCCCGTTGTAGAGGTACGTGCTATGTTGCCGGTATTCGGCAGGCAAGGCATCCATCCACCAAGAAAGACAAGAATCGGGGCGAGATTTTCGTGGAATCTTGGATCATCGATTCGGGTGCACAACAAGGGACATCTGGTAGCAGCAGCAGCAGCAGTCAAAGACGACGCGATAGGCGCATGGACTACAAGGTGATGGGGCCTGTTGCCTGATTGCAGTATTCGTCTCGACGGGCACAACTCCGCATCCTAGGCCCAAGGCAAGTGCTACCGAAATCTCGATACAATGCACAATAATAGTACTAGTAGGTGCCAAAGCACCGAACTCACTCAGCATTCTGGGCATCGATTTCGACCCTCCTCGCCATGGACACATCAATTTGGTCGTCGAGTGCCTCCATCTCCGCCGTGGCGCGAGTGTGCCGCTCCTGTCCATCACCACGGAGGAAACGAAATGACGTCAATGTCTCCGGGTTTTGTTCGTCAACGGGTGGTCGTTGGCAGTTCGGCGATATTCTCTCCTTTCTGTCGTCGTTTTTCTTTGGTGGGGGGTGCTCGTGTTCCCGCGTGGATAGCAGCGCCCGACGGCTCCTTACGACAGGGCGATGGCTCAGGCGCTCTACCGACGGGCGCTATCGGTCCATCTTATCACATGGTCCTTGCCTAGATACAGAAAGGGTGTGGGTACTTACGTTCAGGGAGTCAATCTCAAACGTCAGCCGCTCCAGCCCTTCCTGCTCCTCCTCGATCTGCGGCCCCACCACAAACAAAACATAAACGAATATTCAGAGGGCAAACATCGAGGTGACTCTTAAGCGCGCCAGCAGACGAGGAAAGATGCGAAACACCTGGAGCGAACTCCGCGCCCCCGTATTTTCAGGCCCCACCGCCCAAGCCTTAAGAATGATCTCGGTGACGAGGAGGTGCCACCGGGGATAAAAAAAACGAATTGGAGCGACACGGCAAGACGCCGAGGAAAGAAAAATAGAAACGGCACGGCAGAAACGAAACCGCCAGATGATGAGTACAATCGACCTTCGGCCCAAGACGCACGTACCAACTCCTGCAGCTTCTTGATCTTCTCCTCTCGCACGATGCAATCCGGGTGGTCGCACTCCAGGTATCCCTTTTCTCTGTACCCGCAAAACAGGTCGATCGAGAACGTCAACACACACACACCGTTCGGACACAACAACGGCCAGCGGCCACGTGAACGGCCAAAGAACAGGATCGACTGGAAGGGCCCTGGCGCACGGGGCAACTGGTCACGGCACCATGTTTTGGCTGAAGTCTTGTTCTGGGCTAGTCCAGATGGCGTTGAGTTGAGCAGGAGTACATGAGCAATCGTCGGTCCGCACGCCCAACAACAAAAAGAAGCGAATTTACTGAGAGCACACGATGCCAAAAAACCAAAACAACGCCGCCTTTACCTGGTTTTGTCGCCCCTCCGATTAGCCTGTCGCAGCCCACCACAGGAACCGATTGAAATCGGCGGTGTTGGTTACCGTAGGTTCGCGTATATGTGATAGGAAAGTGCGGCGAAAGAGTGGGTGGGATGATAAGTTGAAGCGACCCATAAACGTCAAGATATGCACCGTTAGTGCAGGTTTAGCACGTACCTCTGGAGATTATGTTTCCATAAAGAAAGACAATTCCACAGCTATCATTTGACGCGCGTGGCATGATTCGTCCTGTGCTTTGCCCAGCTTCGCTGCGTCGGTACTACAGCGTAAAAGGAGGAGAGGCTTGGCGTGAGATGCTACCCGGTTGTTTTTCCCTCTCAAGCTCTCGAGCCCTGTACTGTATCGTTCCTCTCCCATTTAGGACGCTACGTTCGACGTCTTGCAGAATTTGCAACCGTTGCTAACCCCACTCGTGATTTGTCAACACTTCCAAAAAACGAGGCGGTTGTGGGAGCATTTTTGTCAACATGACCTCTGTGCTACGTGTATAACCACTCCCTCTCTTGAACCATCCCCATCTGAACACGCACATCTCCTGCCGGCCGCGGCTGAATTTTTAGCATAGGCAACAGCCTCTCAAGGGCTCCTTCCTGACCCTCGCCTTCTCTCAGTCCGATGGCGAACGAGAGCGAATCAAGGTTGCCCTTGAGGTGCGACACGCTGGAGTAGGCATCCCTGGGGTTGCCGCTCTCAAAGGCCTCGTGCTTGCGGTTCTCTGTGATGTTGTTAGTGCCGCCTCCACCTCTTGTCCCACCCAGCGGGCGAGCATTTTCATCGGCTGAATGTATGGTCGAAATGCATGTTTCGGCGCGGGGTGTGAGAGCATGAATGTACACCAAGCAAATGACAACCAGCATTGCTGAACTCCCTTCTAAATCCACCTTTCTCCTTTGACAGTGCAAGGTGCCCTCCCCACGCCTAACTACAACGAACGAGGATCCTCCGTAAGCTACAATGAGGTTGACGGATGCAGGGGTGCATTTGTGTTCGTTCTACTGCTGTACTTGCAACACCTGGCCCCCTCTAGTCTCAACACGGCAACAACACTCACGATTGAAACGACGCAGAATACAACGTAGTGTAGGACTCAGATTATTCTGTCGCCCTTTATCCCCAGCGTACGTCTGAGAGTGCACATCATTATCATGTATTTCACGCTTAGGAGGAGGCGATCTAGGTGCCGAGTTTCGTGCATAGAATAGTCTATTGCATCTCTCGGGCAGTTGTATGTGGGACGGGCTCTCCACAAGGAAGAGCTATAGCACATCGACATATCAGCGGTATTGGACATGAGATACGGACACCCTCGTCCGATGCTTGGAAGTAAAAAGCAGGTGGGGGCACCTGTGTCTTCCGAATTGTGAGAAAGAAAGCGCTCTCGGACATTCTGTCGGGGCATTCTTTCGTACAGTCTCAAAGGGGTACCTTGTACTTGCACCTACGGTGCAGTTGATAATGACGTATGCATTGCGTTTCTGGACAGGACATGATCGCAAAACTAGGTGCTTATACAGCAGCTGCTTCGAAGGGCTTGAGCTAAAGACACACCGAGGGTTATTGGGCGCGTACCGGGATTTCGTGAGATCTTTCCGAGCCCTTTCCGTGAGGATGTCGATCGGGTTCGGAGCGGAGAGGGGGCGGCGCCCGTGGCTCCCCCGGATAGCGTAGCAGCTGTCATCCGTATGATCACCGCAACAAACCAGAGCTATATGTAGATCTGCGCGTACTGCATGCAAGGGTAAGGTTATTGATTGTAGAGAGGACGTAGCGGGTTCGTCATAAATCCACAGTCTACGAGAGAGAGATGCCCTGTGGACTTGGGGCGAGAAAAGAGCATAGTCTATGTAGACTACTCCGTGTGCGCCGTAGACCCGCTGGCCCTACTTTGTAGTCAATAATGGCAACGGAGAGAGAAGATAGCTTTCCACAACACGGTATATGTATCATGTATATTGTTTGTCATGCAATATTCATACTGTACCCTATGCTGTTGTTTGCTGTTTGCATGGCAACAGCAACGGCTGTGCATATTTATGAAAAGTTTCCGATATACCTGTGTTGTTCCTAACACGGTGGTAACTCACACGTAGCTCATGAGAGGCAGCCCCCGCAGTCAAGCTGTTATCTATAATTGAAATGAACCTTGCCCCCTGAAATATCAACATACGCAGCTCTCTTCGACGTTTGTTCCGCATGGCTGTTTTGCGCCCGCGCAACCAAAAGATGCGACCTTGTAAGCTGCGCACCGCTCGACGAACTCGAATAGGAACATATTAATTCGTTTCATATTAATTCCGCCGCTCTCCCCCCCCCCGTGTGATGCCGTACCCCCCTACGGTGCCCCTGTGCCATGCGTTCGCATACGAAACAGGAAAGACGAGTCAGTGTGAGCAACAGCAGCAGTGACAGCAGCGAAACAAGTGGGTAGTGCCTGCTACTTGGCACGGCCGTCAACTGATTACTATGCAATAGAGTGCTTGCATATCTTCCGCTTGGTGGAATCGACCCTCAGATGGCGCAATTAGCCGCTATCCCTGATGGGCCAGAGTTCGAGCCCACGTTGGTGAGTGCCCTCCGTGTGTTAGCGCATGGATACGCAGAGTTGGGGGGGAACCCCGTGAAGCGCTGGGAAGTTAAGCTGTTCGTGTCACCATTGAGGTTGTTATTGGTAGATCTTCGCTTGTGCTTTTGGGTGGGACCTCTAGTGGATGTTGGATGTGCAGCTGTGTTGCGGAGGGACGGATGGTTGATCTACTGCTGTACACTCACTGCTGTTTTACAGTAGTCTACAGAGTAGCAGTCTCTCACGCGCCACTTCCTACCGCGAAGGGTCGTCCACCGCTGCATCACGCCAATGCCGACAAGATCGGGTGGGTGTCCTATGTAGGTGTGCGTGGCCCTCTATTTCAGAGTGCTTGTGGGTCATTACGCGCTCTCGTGAAGGGGCAATGATTTGTGTTCGTCGGTGCACATACGTTATCCTGTACGCTGGGTATTTTCAACGAGTACTACTGCGGTAAGTACTGAACACGTGGATACAGGCGTCAAACTCAGACGCTGGTACATCCACCACACCACTGCTTCGACACATTTGTTAGTGTTGCAGCAGTTTTTTACAAAAACATGAGTCCCTCCGTTCGGTGAGCCCCCTGTTAGTCTACCAGTAGTTTAAGAAGTAGTCTAGGAGCGTCACCGGCAATGCCGCTGCCTCTGTTGGGGCCACCGTACAACCTTCAACACCACTCGTCGCCATACTGCGGTTGCGTGCCGTGGAACCTCTCCCTTATCGGTGTTGCGGATTGAAAAGGGCCTTTGCAGGACGCTTTGGTGGCAGCTACCACTACAATAGGCAGTCAATCGACGCAAGGACCCTAGCCCTACCCGAACCTAAGCGGAAGACGCCACTCTGGCGGGTGTTGCTGCGACAGGGGGAAGCGGCATCTCATCGTTCGCGCGCCCTCTTTGTATATTACTTTTACTCCATGGAGTAGTTGTTATGCATATTAGCATCAACCGGCTGACTTATTGACGTCAGCGGTCAGTGCGGCTGCTGAAAACAGAAAATACTTTGTCCGTCTGTCTGTCTGTCTGTCTGTCTGTCTGTCTGTCGTGGCGGGGGCGCCGACAGAGCGAACAGGTGGAGAACGTTCTGCAGGAGATCAACGTCAAGGAGCGGCCGTCCTCCGTGGGTAAGCTCTACCAGTGGATACTAAAGAACCCGGGGCCCGAGGCAGCCGCCACGGCCGCCTTCGCGGTGAAGGTGGTGAGTGTACAAGAGACCAAGCCTGCTGCGCTGCTGTTTTGCGTATCTTTTGTATCTCTTACGCTGCTGATGCTGCTGTCCCCGCGCTTGGGAGCGGTGTGGTGGTGCAGCCGGGCAATGCAGGCATGCGAGCTTTTTGGATTGCATCATCGGTGATTGGGGAATGGATTAATCTCATGCCGTTCCGGACTGTAATTCCATAGGTAGCTCTTCTCTCTCTCTCTCTCTCTCTCTCTCTCTTTCTCTCTCCGACTCCCTGTTCTTCTCTCTCATCGCGGAAACAAGAGAACGTTGTTGTACTTGCTGCTGGTTACGCCTTGCCTCTCGAATGGACCGACGACCCGAGACATGGTGATCCGCCCATTCCTCTTGGCTGTTCTCGATGTCCTTACCCCCCCCCTACGTCCTTCGCCCACAATCGGCAAGGTCGCAGTCCGCTGTTGTGTAGAAGCTGTTCTACGCCGACCGGTAGAGGGCCGAATCTCGGTAATGTGTCACAGCCGTGTTTTCATGATGAATACCGGAGTATAAAGCAGTGCAGCGAAAAGAAACCGACATGGAAACGAAAATATTGTCATTGTTCGCAGCCGGTTAGCACGGTACAGGAGCTAAAAAACACACACGAACAAAACAGGCAACCACGGCAAAGGAGTCCGCGGAAAGGCGGCTGAGCCTCCTCTACGCGACCCACGAGCTGTTCCGGCAGACCAGCAAGAACCTGGACATGGACTTCGACTATGAGGCCTGGACGGAAGCGGTCAGAGCCCTCGTGCCGTGGACGGTACGCAAGCAGAAGAGCGAGGTCGACAAGGCGAAGATCATCAAGTCGGTGGGTGTCATGTGGCTCTGGTTGCCACTGTCTGTCTGTCTGCCGCGGGTGCTTCCTTCCTTGTGGTAGATTTTGACCGCGCGTGTTTTATTCCGTTGTAAGACTCTACTGCTTGCCGTAAGGCCGTGCGTATTCCCTTGTAGGACTCTACTGCTTGTGCCGCAGAGTGTGAGTAGCAGAAAGTCCCCAAGGTGCCCTGGGCAGACCAGCCGAGTTTCCGTTCTTGTCTCCGTGGGCCCGCGGGTATGGTAACTTCCGAAAATGTGTAACCTGCTCTCTTTTGAGGGTTTCGTCGAAAAGGCTTCCCCCCCCCCGTGTTCGGTAACGGCAGGGTCGATTCTTTCTTGTAGCGATCGGCATATACACCTTTAACAATGTATGTTGCGGTGCTGGTTGTGCAGCCAGCCACCCATCGCTCGCCCAGCCGCGAACAACTCACGCGGGATCACTTGCGAACAGACCTTCCTTCCCCGTTGCCCGTACTGAAAGGTGTTGAAGACATGGGTAACCTCCGGTTGGTTCAAGAAAGACTTCGTGGAAGGGCTTCTTCCCGGAAGAAACATCGTCAAGAGGGTCTCCCCTCCAGCCTTGTCCCCCGCCGCCGCCCCTGCTGCAGATTCCGGGGGCCGCAGGAGACGACAAAGTAGCGGCGGCGTCGGCGGCGGTGCCGACGGCAGCAGCGGTCGGGGGGCGGGGGGTGGAGGGAAGCGTCAGCGCACTTCGTCGGTGGCGGCAACCGCCGCCGCGGCTGCCGCGCCCGAAAATGGTAGCGGTAACGCTATCAAGAGAGGTCGCGTCGACGGCGGGGGCGGTGGCAGCAGTAGCGTCAACAACGGCGCCGTTGTCGCCGCCGCCGCCGCCGCCGCCGCCGGCCCGTGGGTAGAGCAGGACCGCGAGTCGTCGGCGTTCCACCCGGTCGATGACACCGCCCGCGCCGGCTACTCGCCGATCCCCAGCGGTGGCGGCGGCGGTGGCGGCGGTGGCGGCACGCCTCAACCCGGTGACGTAGAGCTTGCCCCGCCAACCGTGGGGGAGCTAGAGGCGGCCGTGGCGGAGATGTCGGCGTTGACAAAAGCAGTCCAGGCGGATGCCGCCGCCGCCGCTGAGGGGGCGGGGGGGGCAGGAGGAGGGACTAACACCGTAACGCCTTCGCCGGAGGGAAACCGCGCGGACGGTGATGGGGCAGGGGCCGCCACGGCTGCGGGCGAGAGCCCTCAAGAGCTTCAGCGGAAGGCGTTGTCGTTGACGCTGGACGGGTGCGGGCTGATTCGTCGAATAGGGAAGGCTATGAGGTAAGCGTTGATGATGGCCTCAAATGTTGGGGGGTGACAGTGTTTTTTTTTTCCTCGAGTCGCCACCCGAATAGGATCAGGTTTTGTGCAGAGAATGGTCAAGCTTCGGGGTAGGAGGTTGCGTCTGATGTTTGTGGTAAGTGTGGGTAGGCGTTTGAACAGTAATGGGGGCACTGGTGTGTGTGACCACACCTGGCTGTTCCCAGGGGCGAGGCGCTGGCGTCGAGTCGAGCATTGCTTGGTGGCTGGCCACGCGAGTGGGGCTCGACGGCCGCGTGTTACCGGGCGTCCTCAAGAACCGTGAATGTCTCGCGAAAACGAGCAGCTCGAACTACAACGATGCCCCTGTGCTCACCATTGTTGAGTCTCTCGAAAACCACACCGCCAACGTCCCTAGCGAAACTTGACTGCGTTTTTACATTTCAAGCGAGCAAGCGTTTCCAGCGTTTCCAGCGTTTGCAAGTGGAGGCGGTTTGTGGCCGGGACGGAACAAGAGGTATCGACGGCGTCGTTCGCCGCCGCCACGGCCTCTCCGCCCCCACCCCCCACACAGAAGCATTTCTTACACCATTTTTTTTATTATTATTGTTCGCCTCCAAAGCTTGTCCGCGACGACCACACCGCTCGCTGCCAGTGAGCGGAGCCCCTTCCTCCCCCCGTTTTCATCTTTGTGGAACGTAGCCTGGGCCGGCGAGAACCCGGCATGTCGCTCCGTCCCGGCATGCGAGGTCTACGGTCTACGGCATGCGTTTCCATGAGTAACCCCCCCCCCCCCCCACATCTGTCGTACCAACCGAACACAGGTTCCCGGGGAGGGTGATGCTGACCGCGTTTCACCTCTTCCACCACTACCAGTGGTGCGGCTTGGTCTCGTCGTTCAAGTTCTCGCCGCCGAAGCTCCCCGCGGTGTGCCTCGCCTGCCTCCTGGCGGCGACGAAGGCCGAGGACTGCAACGCGAAGCTGGAAGTGATGTTGCATCAGATGAGGCAGCTGGAGCCGATCCTGCCCCCGCTGGAGGGGATCTTCCCGCTCGGACAGCGCCCGACCTCCAAAGAGGTCCGTCCGTTCGTTCGGGGCGATGGCTTTGCCGCCGTGCGGTTTGCAGCTGCTGCTTTCTTGTTTTTCCATTATTTTTTAGAAAATCTTCATGAAACACAGAGAGACTACAACCCGTTTGAGATATATAACCACAGTCGAAGGGTATGTGCTGAAGGCTTGTGGTGAGTGGTGTCGAAGTTGTGTGCAAGAGAGCATCACAGGCCTCGGAGGGCGAAGCAGAGAACGTAACGACAACCAACAGCAGCAGTGACAGCATTGACCAGCAACACCTAGCACGGACAGCGACCCCACGTCTCCGCTTCCTCCCCCCCCCGGCCTAACAAAATTGACGACGACGATCTTGTGCAGGTGGTGAACTATGAGTACAAGCTGCTTCTGTCGCGCGGGTTCGATCTCGAGGTGGTGCACCCCACGGAACAAATCTCAGCGTTCCTGGTGCTGACGGGCGCGCCTTTGCAGGTAGGGGTGCGTGTGGGTCGGTCCTTGTTGTTCTTGTCTTGACAGTAATAACCGTTCCGATCTCTCTGTGCCTATCGTACCTTTCTCTCTGTCCGTATTGATCTACCGCTTGACGCGGTCGATTCCGGTGGTCACGGTCTGCGCGCGTACTATGTCTTTCATTCTTCGTCGGTTTGTTTGACAACAGTGTTCCTAGTATTGTATCAACTTGTTCAGAAGAACAGCAGTCTCGTATGCTAGCATTCTCGTCTGTCGTGTTGTTGTAACTTGTCGATAGCGACCGGCTCTTTTTCCTCGAGTCTCTGACGTTGGTGGCGGTGGGCTCTTCCTTTCTTCTTCTCCATGCCCTTTTTCGTGCTGTTGCTGCTGCATTGGTTCGGCGATACGATAGGTTGGCGACCTTGCATACCAGGTGCTGTGCTCTCGAGTGTACACGGACTCGACGCTTTGTTTGGAGGAGGATCCGCTATCGTGCCTCTGCGCTGCGGTGCAGTTTGCCCTCCTGGTGAGTGTTTTTTTTTATTATTGCATGTTTGTCGCTTCTCCCTCCTGTTTTACGCTCTTTGTTATTTGTTCTCATGTGTGTACTTGTATGTTTGGTTGCTTGGCGCTGCTGTTTGTTTTCTTTTTTGTGTCTTGACTTTTTTTTCTCTCTCTCTGTTCATTTTTCTACGCTATTTTCGTCTTCTTTCTTTCTCCGTTTGAAACTAGGCATATCCCATCTGTCTCCACACGAGAGTTCGGTAGTATAGTTCAGCGGTGATCGGCGAAAGTGTGATGTAGCCAACCAAACCCGATCTGCGGGATTACCGGTTCTCTTCTCGAACAGGCCCACACTGCTGCTGTCCCTTCTTGACAGCAATCGGTGTACACATAGAAGGAGGGGGAGAGGTTTCAGTGTTATACTGTTATATTTTGTGTGTCCCTTGAAAGGGCGGGATTGGAATCTCGGTTGGGGTGGGCGAGAGCGCGGCGTTGTTTTATTTGTGTTGGGTGATGTTTCCGTGGTGCCTTCGGGCAGGATCTGCGATGCATGCAGCGTAACGCGTACGCATCGGTACGCAGACAGAGAGATAGGCAAAGCTCGGCCGGCTCGCGCCGCGTTTTGTGTTGTCATGGACCTACCTACCTCTTGGCCGTTTACGGCTCCACCCTCCCCCCAGAACTGCCGGCCTCGGCGCTCTTTGACCTGTCCGCTAGACCATCGCGCGATTTGCTCCCCGCTTCGACGCTTTCGCTGACAAGACTCGTCGAATACGCCCTGCTCGATCACACACAGATTCCCTCGTTTCTTTGCGCTCCCTCGTGTCCTTCTCCTCCGCCAAAATCTACCCTGTTTGCCTCGTCGTTTGCGTTCAACGTATGACTATCTGCCTATCTTTACACGTAGGGCCCTGTGCCAACCGACGACCCCCTCGGAGACGTGCGCACGAGCGCCCTGGAGACCTGGCCGATGCTGTTCGGAGCCAGCAAGCCGGGCCTGCTTCCGTTCACGGACCGCCTCGTGCAGTGCGCGCGGGACCTCGGAGAGATAGCGCCGTGCCAGACGTTCATGATACCTCGGGGGTCGGAGCAGACCGCCAGCAACTCGCGCTACGGCATGCCCGGTTCCCAGCAGTCGAGGGCTTCTTCTTCTTCGTCGGCGGTGGGGAGGGCAGGGGGAGGGGTGGGCGGCGGAAGCGGAAGTGCCAAGAAGAGCCCGCATGCCGCCAAGACCCCCGAGCGCTCCCGCAGCGGCAGGCGTTCGAGCAAAGTCCAGGCCGGCGGCGGCGGTAGCGGCGGGCGGCAGAAGGCCTCGGGGGCTTCGTCTTCTTCTTCCTCCTCGTCGTCGTCGCGGCGGAAGAAGGAGGCCCGCGGCGGCGCAGGCGCGACGGGGGGAGACGGCGCCGCTGCCGCTGTCGCTACGGCTACTGTAGCCGGGTCGTCGTCGTCGTCGTCAGGAGCGGCAGCAGCCGTGGTAGTGCTGCCCGTGCCGGCTGCCGCAACAACGGCCGCAGCCGCTGCTACGGTAGTCAAGACGGAGGGCGGCGGGGCGGCGGCGGCGGCGGCGGCAGCGAAGGAGAAGAAGGAGGAGCAGGAGGAGGAGGAAGATGCCGCGGTTGACATGGATATGGACGAAAGCAGCCCGGAGCCCGAGCCTGAACCAGAGGAAAGCAAAGCTGCTGCCGCTGCTGCTGCTGCTGCTGCTGCTGCTGCTGCTGTGCGGCCGGAGCAACAGGATCAGGTTGAGCAGCGCGAGTCACCGCGGCTTACCGGTCAGGAAGCAGCACAGCAGCAGCTCCAGCAGGGTTTGCGTGACGAGCTGGCGCGGCAGCGCCGACAGAAGAAGCCCCCTGACGGTACTGACCAGGCGGTGACCACTCCCGGTGGTAAGCCCGGTGATGCCGCAGCCGCTGCCGTCACCGCTGACGGCAAAGGCGTGGTTGCTGTCGGTGGCGTCGGGGTACTGCCGGCCGTAACGAGTGCTAGTGCGGCCCCGCCGATGCACCCCCGTCCCCATCACCCTCCTCCTGTCCATCTCCACCCGCCCCCCCAGCAGCAGCAGCAGCAGCAGCAGCAAGGACAGGTCAACAACCCGCCACGGCTCCCGCAACCTGCCGCCGCTTTTCAGCCCCATCTCCAGCAACCACAACAACAACAACAACAACCACCCGGGCCGCGAATGGGGGGTCCTAGCTTGGACGCGCCGCCACTCCACGCGGGACCGGTGGCGCATGGTCAGCACGGTCACATGCTCCCGGCGGGGACGGGCCCAGGTATCGTCATCCACCAGCAGCAGCAACAGCCTCATCACCCGCAGGCCGGGTCTCCCCGCCTGCACCCCGGTGTGAATGCACAGCACCATGGCCCGGGAGGGCGGCTCGGGCTGCCGAACGGCGTGGCTATCCAGCAGCAGCAGCAGCAGCAACCACCGCCGCAGCACCAGCACCAGCAGCGGTCCTCCCCGCCGCCACCGCTACACCACCAGGTTACGCTACCGCCGCCTCATCACCAGCAGCACCAGCAGTCACCACGACCACCTCACCAAGTGCTTCTGCAGCAGCAGCAACAGCAGCAGCAACAGGTGGTCGGCTTTCCCACCGGTGGTGGTGGTGGTGGTGGTGGTGGTGAGGTTCTGCACCACGGACACCCTTCCGCATCTCCGTCCCCGCCCGGCCCTCGAATGGTGGAAATCTCTCAGCAGCAGCAGCAGCAGCAACAACAACAACAACGCCCGCCGCCACAGCAGCGCATTCCTCACGGAGGGCGAGGGCCGCCGCCACCTAACCAGCCCCCGGTCGTTCTGCTCGGACGCCACCCCCACAACCACCACCATGCCGGCAACAACAGCGTCTTCCCGCCGGACATCGTAGTCACGGGGGAGCCTGCGGTGGAGGGCGGCGGCGGCGGCGGCAGCAGCGGCGCAGAGAGCGGTGGCGGCCTCGTGATCGAGCCTCCCCAGCAGCACTACAAGGGCGAGGACATGGGCTACCCCGCGGCCGAAGACAACGACGCCGTCGGGGGTGTGGTCGAGCCGTACCACGAAGCGGAGGGGCAGCAGCCGTACGGCGAGCAACAGGAGGGCTACGCCAGCGGTGACGGCGGGGGGCTGACCGGGAGCGGGGTTCCCTTGGCGGTCGCACAAGCCGAGAGAAGGAACGGCCCCTACGACGATCACCGGCACCAGCAGCAACACCCCGTCGAAGTGATGCGGTACGACCATCAACAGCCGGTTCAGCTAGAGCTCCCCTCTGGGGGTGTTTCGCACGGCGAGGAAGACGGCGATTCGGTGGGGCACGATAGGAATTACCCCGAGGGGGGTGCGCCGGCGGCGGCGGCGGCGGAAGAGACCTACGCGGAGCGACCGCCAGCCAGCGAGGGGATGGGGGTGGTGGCTGACGACATTCTCGGGGGGTGGCAGCAGCAGCACCAACACCAAGGAGCACCAGGGCATCAAGCGCTGGGCGATCGTGCGTGGGAAGGCGGCAGTGGCGAGGAGGCGCTGGGGGAGGTTGCTGTAGGAGGGGGGGGGCGCGGCAGCGGCGGTCGGGGGGAGAGACAGTCGCCGTCGGAGTACGCGGAAGCGGAGGAACTCCTGCCCCACCACCACCATCAGCAGCAGCCCGTGTTTGCACACGGCCCCGCGGGGCCAGCAGATCAGGAGTGGGATGACGGGGTAGGGGTTACTCCGGGAGACGACGCCTCGGAGGGCGTGTGGCCACGATGATGTTTGGCGGCTGCTGTCTTGCCTCCCTCGTACTTCTTGGGGGGGGGGGGGGGGGGGGGGCCCCCGTTTTAAAATTTTTAAGGGGGGGGGGGGATTCTGGGGGCCCCCCCCTTAGGGGCAAACCTTACCCAGAGTTTTCAACTTTTTTTTTTTTTGGGGGGGGGGTCGTTTCTCTTTTTGTGCATTTTTTTTTAGCTTTTGGA